TTTTTTTTTTTTTTTTTTTTTTTTTTTGGTAGCTTAACCATAAGAACTCCAAAGTTAGACGTGCTTTGTTTGAAATAATTCTATGGTGGGTGACCTCGGACAAGCCATGCTGGAATGACTCGTGTTGGTCTGTAGGAATAGTCTTCACTCATACAAGTGAGGATGTGACCTTGTCGCAAGAGATGGAAGATGATATTGTTCGGATTTCGATTCTTGAACGTGGGTCGTTACAACACGCAACTTTTGAAATGGTATTATGATGATCCTATTTCTAAGATAAGACTAGACCACTGATACATTGAAAAAATTCAAATTTGGTGACTACCTAACTTCATCCATAACTATTTGACTTTCTTTTCTAACTTCCCATCTAAGCCTTCCACAAAAGCTCCCTCAAGAAAAGTCTTATTTCAAGTTCACACTACGAAAATTCAATAAGAAAAATCAAACCGATCAGATTTTGAAAATTTTATGAACGCTTTCGAAAAGTGCCTATGTGTAGATATACACGTCTCAAACTCACCTGATCCGATGATTTCTTGAAAAATTGTAGCATTGTATAAATTCTCGAATTCTTTATCTTATTTATAATCTCGAAAGTTTGATCGTCAAACCTTTCCCACGAAGAAAAGAACAAAAAGCAAAGGATATTGGACTTTTTGACCATGTTCATCTCCATCATATCTATAAATAGTGGAACAACACAAATTCACAATCCCAAGCCATTGTTTCCTTCAACTCCAAATTTTAATTTGTTAAAGTAGTGGAAGGAAAGAAGAAGATGTTGCATAATTCACTTGCCATCTTTAGCTACCTATTAGTCTTCCTGGCCATAACTTCCACAGCTCAACTTCCTCCGGTGCTCGACACTGACGGTCAACCTCTACGACGTGGTGTTGAGTACTACATCAAGCCTGCAATCACCAACGTTGCAGGTAATCTCACCCTAAAAAATCGTAGCAATGCTCCTTGCCCGCTTTACGTCGGTCAAGAACCAGTTGCTTCAACAAATATCGGTCTTCCGGTCACCTTCACTCCCATCGTGGCGGGCGAAGATATAATTGAAGAAAGTATGGGTTTCAATGTTGCGTTTCAAGCGTCGTCAACGTGCATAACATCAACACAATGGAGAGTGGATGAGATGGAGTCTGCAACAGGGAGGAGGTTCGTGGGGGTCGGGAACGATAACGGTCCGACTGGGATCTTTAGGATCGACAGGAACAATGGTGTTTACAATATAGTATGGTGCCCTGAGATGGTAGGGAGGCCAAGGTGTGGAAGTGCTGGGATTTTGGTGGAGGATGGAGTGAGGCTGCTGGCTTTGGATGGCAATGCGTTTCCTTTTGAGTTTGTCAAAGCTTGAGATAAAGGGAAGTACTTGATTTGTTGTAATTATACAACAAGAATATAATAAGTTGAAATAAAAGCTCTTGTAAGGATATACTTGCGTTATTTCTCGTTATTTGACATTTCGACCTTGTCGATAAGCGATATCTTGACCAGTAAAAGCATGCACAAGATGGTCTTTTTTTATGTTGAAGAACAACTAGATATTATTCTTTGAACCATCGTACGGGGCACAAAAGCCTGGCCGTGCTTTCACGTGTCATATTCCTCTGTCCAAACTAAAAAAACGACGTAAGCCTCGAGGCTTCGACACAAAGCCTTCTAGAACATTCATTTATTAGTAGTGAACGTAGAAATTCCGACTCATTGTCACCAAGTGTACAAAGATGATTCAATTATTTGTAGCAAGGAAAGTGCACCTTGTGGAAAGATGTTCACTTTTTAGTGTCTTGATAGGTTGGGATAGGCACTCCTGATTCTTCTGTCAGTTTCTTGTAAGCATTTTGTAACCTTCTTGTCACAGGTCCAACTTGTCCATCGCCAATCACACGCCCGTCGATCTTCACAACCTGAAAAATCAAAGGGAGTTCCCCCGTTAGGTGTTTAGGTGTTAGTTTGGTTTGGTTCAATTCTTCGTCGAATTATCTAACTAAAACCTTTCGACCCTACAAAAACAAACAAATTGATTCGGTTCGGTTCGTTTCAACCTGTTATTCGCATCATTCATAGCATTACTTCAAATGAAAATGATAAAACATAGACAATCAAGGAAGTGTACATGTTTTTCCAAGCTATCCTTAAAACAATAAGTCTATAGATAAAGATAGACAATGTAACGGCCAAGCCTACCGTTAACAGATATTATTCTCTTTGGGTTTTCTCTTCTCGACTTCCCCTAAAGGTTTTAAAATGCATCTACTAGGGAGAGGTTTCCACACCCTTATAAAGAATGCTTCATTCTCCTCCCAAGACATCCATATTCTAGAGTAGGTATTCTTAAAAGGTTTCATGTCAATGTTTCTGCGACACGAGAAATGAAAGGAATTTCGAGGGACGAGTCTTTTGATAGCATTCTTATATTTTTACGAACATATTTCTCAGTTTCCTATCAAGAGGAATAAAAAAAAGTGTAGCCATAAGGTGTACTTACAGGGGTAAGTTCTCCCATTGTTCCAGTAGTCCATACCTGCAGAAAATCGTCTTTAGTTGTATACGAACGAACACTTCCACATGATGAAAGTTCGTTATATTTTTCGTCGTTGCCATTGTTTTAGCTTCAGCTATAGACATTACTATAAGTTTTACAGTTAAAATCTTTTTCAAGCAAACCGTTACGCTTTTGATGCTTTGGATGACGTATGCAATGATGTTAAAACAATGTCATTAATTCAATCTCATTTGATAACCATTTTATTTTAGTTCATTGTGGGATCATGTTATGCAAACCAATGTTATAAGATTTTCATGAGCATTTTCGTTCCAACTCAATGTTATGCAAACCATTCAACTTCGAATTAAATACGTAATAAATCGAAAACCTCGTCTGCAGTATGAAATTCTGATAGGCTGATTCTTCGCTCCTCCAATACCAGCTTCTCCTTCACCACAAGATCCATGACCTGCAGCCATTAGATCAATATTAGTTAAATCAAGGAAAGGAAAATTGTCTATGTAATCAAACAATCATAAGTTAAGGTCCTTATGGGTGGAATTCGTGAATGACAATTCATCCACGTGGCACCAAACGTTGAAGCCACTGCACATTATTGTTCAGCCTAGTAATGTATTGATAGTATACGTAACTTAGTGTGGACGGTAGGGAGTTCGTCGCTAAATGAGACTCTTAGGCTAATGGATGACAACGTTATACATTACATTTGCTAGATATGTAATGAGAGAAGTTTAGGCCTAATTATGACATTTACAATAAATTCCATGTTGTCAACATATAAGGTGAAGTATCATACCGTTGCACGAGTTATTCCAGGTAGACAGTAATCAGCATCAGGTGTCAAAACTTTGCCTTTTTTCACTAAGAACTGCACGAATAAATTCATTAATCTTATATCCTTATCTCAAATCAAGTATAGAATGTAAGCGAATGAATTTATGCATTTACTTTCGACATCGATAAGAAGAATAACGAGGAGAGGAATCAGAAGGGAATGTGCCAGTCATGCAACAAATCCTATGATGCCAAATATAGCCTAATGGCATTTATTTGGTATTATAAATGTGTAAACTATTGTTCCCCGACCCCCTTGCCACTTGGAATATTCTTGAGAACGTAATAGGTGGAGGAAGCGAGAGAAGAGTTGATGCGATGCTTCCAAAGATAATACCACTATACAGAAGTTTCGAAACCCGATACTTACAATGTTTGTCGCATTTGTTTCAGACACAAAACCATCTTTGTCCAGCATGATAGAATCACCAGCATTCGCATTGTTTCCTTCAATCTACACATTTCAATGAACTCAACCAATTGAAAGAGATAATCAAAACAGACTCGACACGACCATTTGATATAGTTCGAGTCAACCACATATGATCGATTCAATCAAATACAAATCAAGCAGTCACTTCATGTGCTAACATGGAATCCCATATCTTATGTAAACGGTATTGAATGCTAGCCAGCCAGATATATCCAAGAGATGATAATAAGAACATGAAAACTTTTAATGTGTTCAAAATTACATGCCTTGAACAAATTTGTACAAAAAGTTCACACTGTTGGAAATTCGATACCTTGGCAAGAATGTTGTTGAGAAGATTATTGTGATGAATCTTTGAATCCAAATTCTGGAGCCACGATAAATCAATAAGTACCGATTCTAACGGACTGAATGAGGGTTAGTAATAGTCGAGTTGAATAATCAACATTTATTTTAATTAAACTTATGAGTACAAAACAAATTATAGAGAATTAGAGACATATAAGATTAAGGGAATTGTCTTACATTAGGTGCATTACGACGTGTTGTGGCAGTCACTAGAGTTATTCCACTCGTGTTGTCGTAGACAGGAGGTTTCCATTCAGCAAGCACTAAATATAGTTACAAGCAAAAAAATAAACAAATAAGTAAAGCTAAAACACACCCACATGTACAAATAAACGTATATAATACAAGAACCATTTATTTATTGTAGGATGCGAGCCAAAGAATTTTAAAATGATTTTTTTTTGTTAAAAAAACGGTTCTGTTCAACTATAAATACAAGCACAAGAGCTTCATGGGCATTCCAGAAATGAACTCCGTGATGATTTTTGGCACGAGCTTCATGACTTAGCTGGCTTAGGAGGAGACCAATGGATTATTGGAGGGGATTTGAATATGACTAACTGGTCTTGGGAGAAGTCTCATGACCTGTGAGATCCCACATTGGTTGGGGAGGAGAACGAAACACCCTTTATAAGGGTGTGGAAACCTCCCCCTAGCAGACACGTTTTAGAGCCTTGAGGGGAAGCCCAAAGAGGACAATATTTGCTAGCAGTGTGCTTGGGCCGTTACAAATGGTACCAGAGCCAGACACCGGGCGATGTGCCAGCGAGGAGGCTGTTCCCCGAAGGGGGTAGACACAAGGCGGTGTGCCAATAAGGACGCTGGGCCCCGAAGGGAGGTGGATTGTGAGATCCCACATTGGTTGGGGAGGAGAACGTAACACCCTTCATAAAGGTGTGGAAACCTCCCCCTAGTAAACACGTTTTAAAGCCCGGAGGGAAAGCCCAAAGAGGACAATATCTGCTAGTAGTGTGCTTGGGCCGTTACATGACCACTCCACCACCAGAAGCATGTACACCTTCAATTAATGGATTCCTGACTAACAACTTTTAGATGTCCATTTAGCAGAATGGTTCTTATACCTGGTCTAGTTTTGGGGATGAACAATATATTTCGTGATTGGACAGATTCTTATTAACAAATGACTAACTCAATAAATTTGAAGAAGCCAAACAAAGAGCTTTCTAGAATAACATCTGTGCCCGTTCATCAAATTTGAGCGTTCCATTTTCGAGTCATTTTCCATAGGTGTACCAATGACACTATTTTTCCTTTTTGAAAGGAGGGTCAAGTCATCGTTAAGAAAAGTTGTTTTCTTGTTTTAGTTTCTTACTAAATTTACTAAAGATTGTACTAAGAGTAAGTGCTTCGGGGATAGAGAGATTTTGGATTCTTCTTTTGGATTCTATTTTAACTGTTGACTTCTTATGAATCCAAGCTTAATCATGTTCTTTTAAAATACGAAAACAGCTAAGGCCAACATAAAGTTTTATGCATAATTATTCCATCTAATATAACCTGAAAGAACATAAAAGAAATCTTAACAGCAAGCTACTAAAGCAAGAATTTGCACTACCAATTAAGGTACATCCGTAGAGATTGAATTCGGGACTCATTCCAGAAGTGACCTAAAGAGGATAAAAACAAGTAAATAAAGATAAACTTTTCAAAATTCAACCAAAAGTAAAAGAAGAATAGCACAACTCCTAACTCTTTAATCTGACTTGTAAGTAAATATTAAACAAATGTACTGTGGATGTTAGAATCCCTAGTGGAACAATCATTCAGTTCATGAAGATCCTTATGAAATTCATTGATAAGCCACATTAGTTTAAACATTAAAAGAAAGATTATTTCAATCGTTATTTTGAAAATAAATAGCCAACTGGGAATAAAATATAAAAACAGCTTTCTACAGAAATAATTCACAGAAAAGGTTAGCAAAGTAAGTGAGCCAGAGGTACTTTAAAATTACACAACCTTTTTCCCACGTGTTAAAGATAATCGGATGTGTGCATTATCGAACATTCCATTCCGAATGAGTGTTCCAAAAATGGCACCCTTTACCTACATTTGCATAAAAAAATTTACAAGGATAAACAATGCATCCTCTTTTAAGACTTAAGGAAAGAGTGTAAGAGCACCTTCCTCCCTGCATTAGATAACCCAAGAGCCAAAACCATAGAGGTTGCAAGAAGACAACATACTATACATATTGATGTTCAGTTTAATGGATAGAAACAAAGTTGACTCTTTTGATGCGTACCTCGTCTCTAGTAGGAACATTCTGGAAAGCCAAAGCTTTTGAC